ATATGACGGACATCATCAGAGCGAGGTAGCATCGTCACAACAAAATTCAAGCTAACGAGTCAAGAAAACACACCGGCAAATCCCTAAAACGTGGTGTATATATATATATATATATATATGACAGATAAAAGCTTAACACCTTTTCACAGGAATCGAAGGAGATTGCCTCGGAAACAGCGTCAGCATGAATCTTCCAGTAAAGCCAATCGACAGTTGGTCAAGAGGAATCCGCCGTCGTCTTCTGGTGGAACTGACCTTCGAATCTCTCCACCCAAAACCTTCACTCGAAATGGAAGTAAGCTCAACAATTATGAAACAAGAGATTCCTCGAAACCCAGCTTTTCTTCATATAGTTTTATCTTGCCTGATCGCATAACCTGGCATTGTAGGATAAGAAGAATATGGCTCAGAAAAATGCCTAAAGAGCCTAAATAAGTTGTCAAGATAATCATTAACTTACTGAGCACAGATCTCGTCTTCATCATCTCCAGAGATTCGCGATTCACAGCATTTGTAGATGAAGACGGCTGTTGAACTAAACTCAGCATTCGAGCAGATGCTTTGTCAGGCTTTCTGGGGCGCCCAAAGTCGTGATGTGATTTCGACATGATAACATCGTTGGTTTTTTGTCTTGTTGCCGATACAGACCTCGTAGAAGAGGATCCAATTGTGCACGATGAAGAAACAGAAACCGACGTCCCGAGGCCTAAGTCGGAGACTCCATGTTGAGGTTGTTTAGTTGGATTCAGGCTGATCGCAATAGACCCATCTGACGCAACATTGGCTGCCTGTGACACAGTGACATGGCCAAACTGAGGCATTCCCGCATTATGATACGCCGAGATCGGGAGGAGGGACTGTGTCTGGTTCGTTGTCAGCGGGTCTTCATTGATGGTCTGCAATGGACTGGGACACAGCCTTGCAGTCGTACCGCTGTGGGTCCGTGTAAGGTGACTCAAGCTCGAGAGAACATCGGAATAATCAGGCATAATAGCAGAGGCCTCCAAAAGTGAAGACTGGTCAAAGTTCATTTCGATGGAGGATCGGTTGAGTGCAGAAGCGGCAGAGCAAACAAAAGAAGAAATGGGCATATTTTCCGGTCTATCAGGGCATGTAGAGTCTGAATAAACGGAGATCTGGGCCTGTACATGCGAGTTATCCGGATAGGTCAAATCGTCCTGGCGACCTGTGGGCAGAAAGTGAGGCTGAAGAAAGTGATTGTGCTGAAGAGGATCGGGAGAAAGCTTAGGAAAATCCGGTGTATCCGATAATGCAACAGTGAGCGGTGAAGGTCCTGACTGAAATTGGCCGCTAAAATGCGCCATGTCTGCTTGACCATTTGTCGGAAGTGTGGGAGGAGCTATCAACTCGTGAATAAAAGATCTGTCTCTGCCTGGTGACATGGCGTCAAGAGACGAGGCGACGGAGGCAGATGAAACATTAGCATGTGCTCGAGGCATACTGCTGCGCGCCACCCCGTCTTGGTAGTCGAAATCTCCCTCCGGCATTATCAAGTGTGAGGTGTCTGCTGGTGACGGTGATCGAGATATGGTCTGGTTTGGCAAAAAGAAATGGATCTGATCTTGCACAACATCCTCAGGATAGACCTCCTTTGTCATTGAGGTGTTGTACGGTGTAAGAGAGATCGGAGTCAGCAGAGCTGCATCATTCTCGTTTTGAGCGCTGAACTCGGGAAAGAAGGACGTTGTCACAGGCGCTGACATCTTGCGACTAGATTCGTCAACCTAGAAAATGACATGTTGTCACGCGAAATATTAAGGCTTTCTGTCTGAATTTGTAAATAAGAAAAAGGATTGGGTCCCAATGAATCTCTTAAGTTAACATTGTTTGAGAGACTTTCATTTCGTGGTAACTTGAAAATTTTACAAGAATGAGTTCAAGCTCCGATGATGTCCATCATATGATGGGCAAAAGCTCAAAACCATTTACACCCAAACAAGGTAGGTCTCATGGAATGCGTCAATCTGATTGTCGTTTTAGCGACGAACGGCT